CCATACCCACACACCCCCGCCAGCCCAGGAGCAGGGCCCCAGGCCCCACCTTCAACACCACCTTCCAGGTGGCCTCTGCCCTCTGAGCAAAACATTCCAGGCTCCTACCCCAGGCCCCCGAGAAAGGCTGGCAGCGCAGCCCACACTGACCACATCGCCCCCCACCCCCGACACCGGCCTCCTCTGGGCTCCCTGAGCCCCTGTCCGTCCCGGGTACGTGTCAGTGCTTCCCCACCTCACTTATCTGCTCGCCTCCTGACCACCTACCTCCCTGCCGTGAGCGGAGCGGGCACAGGACAAGGGTGCCCAATTATCTCTACTAGCCCTGTAACAGGTCCTGGCCTGGGCTGATGGGAGGGGCCTGTGTGCACACGGCCAAGCAGGGTCCTCACTACACACAGCAGGGCCTGGGGCGGGGTCATGACACAGAAGGGGCACCCACCTCACAGGGGGCACCCTCACAGCAGATACTCCCTGAGCAGACCGACTGCTGTGCCCCCCAAATCCCTACGTTGAAACCCTCATCCCGATGGGCTGCTGTGTGGAGGTGGGCCTCTGGGGGAGGCTGAGGGTGAGACAGAGTCATGAGGGTGGGGACCCCGACGGGACTGGCGCCCTCAGAGAGCCCTGTGCCCGCCCCGCGAGGACATGCTGAGGAAGCGGCTACCTGCGGCCCGGACATGGCGCCGGTGCCATCACCTCAGACATCCAGCCGCCAGATCGAGAGAAACACGCAGAGTCGGCCTAAGGGCAGGGCAGACAGAAGGCAGAGGGGGCCCCGCTGCCTCACTGAGGGGATGCTGGGCGTCCCAGGGGATGGGGGGGCATGAGGGGAGCACACGGGATCTCAGGGCCCCCCGGGTGCTGCCCAGCCCATCCTCAGGGCCCCCCGGGTGCTGCCCAGCCCATCCTCAAGCTGAACTCGTCCTTAATGAGACGTCACTTTGGAGAAGCATTTCAGAGCCTTCAAACTCGCAGCCTGAGCCTCGTCAAACCTCGCAGAGATTACTTAAGATTTACCGCACAGGCGCTAAAATAAAATAAAATAAAGTGAGGCTGGCGTGCGCGGCAGCCCCTGTGACAGCACCATTTGTAGTCGGGACGGAGCGGCCTCCAGACTCATCTGCTTAAGCTCAGCGTCTTCTGTTTACTTCGCACTTTCACATCAAATGAATTTGGAAGGAGTGAAAAAGTGACAGGCAGTTTAGGGATATAAGTCACATTTCAGCTTCAGTTCAGATTAATGAACTTGCTGGGAGCCGCTGAGGGCACAGGCAAATCCACAAATCTGAGAACAAAACATGCAACCCTCGCTCAGCAAGAGCCTCAGCCCCACGGTGCACCGGCGGGACCCTCCACTGCCCCCCAGGACACCCCACGCCCCAGGGCCGGTTCTGGGCAGCGGCGGTATGAGGCTCTAGGGGCCCAGCCGCGCCTCCCGTGGGTCCCACAGCGATCCCACCGCAGCCCATGGGGCCACCAGCCACAGCCAGGAGGGGCCTGCTGTCCCCGCACCCCGCAGTCACAGGCAGTCGGGGAGTCTGGCCCCATCCTCCTGGGACAAGAGCGGCGGCGACCCTGCCTCCATGCGTACTCTGACGCCAGGCCCCTGGCGACACAGGATGGAGCGTGGGAGCCCCTCACCACGATGTGTCATCCCTCAGAACAGACGGGGAAGAGACCTGCCGCAACCAGCGGCTCCGCCCTGGCCCTGCTCAGGACGCGGGGCCACTCCGCCAGGCAGCCCCAGGGGCCTCTGGGAGCTCGGTCCCACGGCGTGCACGCCCCCCCGGCAGCCCCCCGGCTCCCCCCCCCCACTTATCCCCTGCCTCTCCACGGTGAGCACCTGCGGGAAGGTGGCGTCCGGGGCCGCCCGTGCCAACACCGCACTCTTGGCCACTGGGCCACCTGCCTGACTTGCCACCTGTGTCCCCCAGTCCCTGACACTGCCGGCTGAAACTCTAGGCCTACTGCACGCCCCCCGCGGGGGTTCCACCCTGAGGTGCGCCCAGAGCAGGAGCCCCAAGGGGAGCTCACGGCCTGGGGCTCAGGCTCACCCGGCAGGAGCCCTGCCTCCTCACCCCCGCGGCCCTCGCCCACACCGGCCCGGGCCCAGCCCCCAGCTTGGCCCCTCCTTTCACCCAGGGCAAAGCTGAAGAGCCTGCAGATCCTCAGGGAGGAGGTCAAGGCCAGAGGCAAGGACAGTCGGCCAGAGCCTCCCTAGGCCCGCTAGGCCCGCTGACCACACACAGGCAGCCCCCGGCCCTGACCCAGCGGACGGTGGCAGGGGGGCGGGTGCCTGCCGGCCTCTCTGCTGCCAGGATGAGCCGAGCCCAGGCGGGCACAGCCAACGGCAAGGCCAGGCAGCTGGCAGGCGGCCACTCTGTGGAGAAGGAAGCCCCCCCGGGTCCAGGTGACCTTGGGCAAAGGAAGCCCAGTCTGCTGGCAGCCACACTTCCCAGGACCTGAGCCACTCAGCCCTCAGCAGCCGCCACACCCTAGGCTGCAGGCCCACGAAGCCCAGGGGTCTGGCCCTCCAAGAACCCAGAGCTGTGTACTCGGGGCGTGTCCTGGAGGCCTGGCAGTGGGTACGACAGACCTGGAGTAAAGCGGTCAGGGCGGACGGAGACCCCACTAAGCAAAACCTCCACACGTGGCCTCAGTTCATGTGCACCCAGCCTGGGGGCGCAGCCATGCCCGCACACACGGGGAGCGGCTAGAGCACCTGTTAGCCTGACCTGAGCCGTCTGGCGCTAGCATGGCCTGGGAGAGGGTGGCACAGAGCCGGCCAGGGCAGCGTCCTCACCACACCCCCAGCTGGGGCCCTGTGCCGGAGCACCCACACAGCCGTGGCCCTTCCTGCAAGGCAGGTGGCCCGGGGCGGGGTGTGGGGGGAGGCCATGGCCGCTCAGGGTGGGCGGTTGGGTCTGGGCCTGTCCCTTCTGGGCCTCCCCTCACAGCCCACCCCACCTAACTGAGCCGAGGTCAGACCTCGCAGACCTGCCCACACGGCATACGGACGTGTGCTCACCCCGTCCCCACCTGCTCCTCAGCTCCCACACTGAGGCGCAGGAGCGTTCCCCGTCCTGCTGCCGACTGGGCTGCTCTCCACCTGATGGGCTTGACATCCCAGCCGGTTACGAGGCGGCTACGGCCCAGGGGTGAACCCAGCCACCCCTCTAGTAGGTCTCGCCCCACAGGGCCTGGCGCCCGTTTCTGCTCAGTGACCCCCGCAGGGCCACCCCAGCCCCCAACCATACCCCCAGGGGGAGGGCCACAGGAGGGGAGGCGGGAGCAAGATCAATAAATCTGAACCTCATTCACGATGATCTGGGGCTCTTATTAAGTAAATTAATTTAAGTTAATTTAGCTCGATCATGACTCCCGATCACAGTGATTTAGTGAGGGGGAAATTGCATTAGGAAAGGCCATGCTCACTAGATAGGAGAACGGAAGAAAATTAGACCCACTTAGCACTGTGAATTAATATGGAAATAGCAGGTGTAAATTTAACCTTATCGAGAGAGTGAAAATTATCTTCATAAATTTGTAGAAATAGCCCCCAAGATACTTATAAATCTATTTAAAACAAAAATATTACAAAAAGTGCAGTAAAATTAATTTAAAATATACTTCCAGCTATTGCCTCCAGAAAACCGGCAGCAGGGCCAAGTTCAGTGCAGCCTTGGGGGGAGGGGGAGAGGGAGGGGAGCGGGGGCCACAGGCTGCGTGGGCAGACCGCCCAGCCACGGGCCGCCAGGGGCACCTCCCCTCACATCCCCTGGCCGGGGGGTGCCGGGCTCCTGGGGGCCTAGCAGGGTGGCCCCTGCCCAGGGTTCTGGGCAGTCCAGCCCCTTGGGGCACAACAGTCCCTCTGGCCAGAGTGTCCACTGCACCCACATGGAGGCCGATGATGCATGGAGCCCCGGCTCTGCTCCCCCAGGAAGGGGCTCCCAGAGGACAGCCAGAGGGGAGGGGGTCTGCCAGCACCCAGTTCCCACTCACCCCCCAGAGCTGCCACCCCACCCCCCACCTCAGCAAAGGGAGGGGCACCCCCCCATGTCAGGCCTCCTTGGGCCCCAGGGCTGAGCAGGCTTACAGCAGGACCCCTAACTGCTGTACCCTAATGCTGCTGTCCCACCAGAGCCCTCCCACTTCTGGGCCCAGGGCGCCCGGGAAAGAAAGTGAACGGCCCCCACTCTGCACGCTCTCAGCCAGGAACGGCCCAGAGCAAGGCTGTAGCGCTGGGGGTTGGAGGGGGGGTAGAGGCGGCACCCGTGGCGGGGGGCATGGAGAGGGCCATAGCCCCATGTGTCGACGGAAAGTTGGGCCATAGCCTCCAGAGAGGCCCCGACTCTAACCAGAAGTTTCTCCATGAAGGGTACTTGGGCGCAGCACCCGTTCTGGCCTCGACTGTCCCGACAGTGGCTGCTCCCATGGCCGTCCCGCCTACAGACGGCGCCGCACGGCACGTGTGTCTCTGCACACGGGTCTGCGAGTGCACGCCACACGCACAGGCTGCCCACGGGTCTGCTGCAGAGCCGCTACACAGAAAAAGTAGCCTGTTCCTCAGCCGGCAAGCTGGAGAACAAGCACCTGTGTGTGGCCACAGCTCGGTCCCCAGCAGCCTGGGCGAGGCGTCTTACCTGGACAGCGAGAGCCGCCGTGACCGCCAAGAGGGCAGGGACAGGGGAAGCTGGGGGGCGCCGAGAGGAGACAGTGGGGTCTTCTTGACGATGCGGTAGCGCGTCTTGATCACTTTGCTGGCAGGAGGGGTCCGCACGGTGTGCACGCTGGACGCTGCAGAGAAAACCCAGACACGGGGTCAGTGGAGGTCAGCCGGGTGCCTCTCCCCTCACTCCAGCCCCGCCCCACAGGGCCCCAGAGCACCCAGTGGCCCAAGGCTCTGGAGAGCTGGGCACAGGCCTGGAGTCCTGGGGCACGGGGCACTGGGGATGCCGAGGGACACACGGGCAGGGAGGGCAGCAGAAGCCCCCCAGCCAGCTGATGAGGGCAGCACCACGGGCTGGTGCCCCTCGGCGGGCAGCCCCGAGTCCCCAGAGCTTCCAGGGGGCAGTGAGGAGGGGGCCGCAAGCGGGTGCAGGGGGCTGGGGGTGCAGAGGGCTCGGCTCCCTCTCCGGGCACCCCCAACACACGCTCACGCGGATTTATGTATTTAATCACCAGTGTTTTCATCGCATCTTGTGGGCTGAGGTACATACACCACAGCTCCTCTTTTGCTGAATGGTTCATGCAATTAACAGGGATCTGTTTTGCCCGAGTTCCCTTCCACTTGATAGCCGGCAATTTCTCCACAGCTTCGAGGAATGTACCTAATTGCCCGGCTCGCGTAATATACGGCTCTAACTGCCCAGATAATTAAAGCAAACGCAGCGCAGGGCGCGGGCGCCGAGCCTCCCACGCCCCAGCCCACGGCCGGCCGCCTCTCGGGCAGCTCCCCGCTCGGATGGGCGCTGGGACCCAGGCCCCTGTGGGCTCCTCCTCGTCTCATCCCCATCCAACCGGCCTGCACAGAACCCCAGTGGGGGGTGGCTTCCCGGGGCTCCCATCCACAGACACCGCCGCGAGGAACCCACCTGGACCCCACGGGCAGGCAGCTGGGCAGGGGGGGGGGGGCGTGCCAGGCGAGGCCCCCAGGAAAACACACAGGGTCTCGCTGCCGGAGCGTCAGCACCACAGCAGACCCAGGACCCTGCAGCCCAAGGCTACTCGGGCCCCAGGATGGCCCAGGAGGGAGCAGCGCACAGGGCAGCCCCGAACCCACATCGGTGCCTTGCTCCGCTCCCCTGGCAGCACAGACCAGCGCTCCAGGACCTGGGCCTGCTCCGCCAGGCCCCAAGGTGGCACGCTGCCGGCACCCACAGATCCCGACCCTGAATGCGAACCTCCCCGCTACCGGCCCATGAGGAGTGGTTACCGGTCACGGACAGCATCTAAAAATCATCTTTCAGAGCTCGAGGCCCAACAGACTCCAGCCTAGAGCCAGGCCCCCGAGCCAGCACCTGGCTCCATCACCTCCTGCCCAGCCCACCAGGACACCCGTACCCCAGGGGACCCCAGGCCGGGAACTAGCAGGACAAGCACTGTGTCCCCTTGTCCGGCTGCCGGAGGAGCCCCTCCTTCAGGGGTCCCCTCACCCTCTGCCAGGGCGCCCATCCACCCACAAGCAAGGCCAGGACACAGCCTGGGTCAGAGCCCTCCCGAGTGCCCCCCGCCCAGAGGCTCCATGCCTGCTGCCGGACCAAGGAGACGGTGCGGGCCCTTTGCGCCGTCAGAGGTGGACACGGGCTTCAAGGCCCAAAGGCTGCTGGGGGCAGGACACAGCTCTGGTCACCAGGTTGACGCAGGGACGCACAGCAGCTGCCCACCAAAGGGGGCTGCGGCAAATCCGAGTGAGGCCGGGCCAGACACCCCAGCAACAGGGAAGAGCCCCCTCCCTCCTCTCCCCTTCTGCCTCTCTCTCTCTCTCTCTCCGTCTTTCCCTCCCTCCAAGTGCAGCAGCTCCAGGGAGTCGGGGAGAAACAGAAGCTCAGCAAAACCACAGGGCGACATGGCATCACCAGGGACACCTGATTTGCTGAGTGACCAAAGTGAGTGGATCCTTAGCTCTGAGCACCCCACACTCTTGGGACACAGGGGAGAGCCTCGCATACAGTGGGCGTCAATAGATAAATGTTTGCTGAATTGAATTTTCAAGGTCTTACAAGCAAGGATGGACCACAGAAAATCAATAACAGCTTGTTCCAACGAAGAGCCTTCCTCTAAGTCACCGGGGCCCAAGCTAACCTCACCACCACCCCTGCATCTGGACAGCGCGCCTCACCCTGGCTCAAGGGCCTCGCTGGCAGCCACCGCCAGCTGCTCTGGGATGTGCGGTGCCTCGTTAGAGCCACATAGCCCTGGCTCTGTAGCTGGACTCCTGCCTGGGGGCACTGCTGACTCGCCAGCCTCACCCCCTTCATCCTGAGCACAGGGAAGCCCAGGCCTGGCCCAGCTCTGCTCCCCTCTTGCAGATGTAGAAAACTGCCACCTCCTCCAGGAAGTCCCCCGCCCCCCATGCCCAAAGGTCTGGACTCTGCGTTCAAGTTACCAGGCAGCTGTATTTAGAACACACTCCTGCAAAGTGCAGGCCTGTTGTGAAATCAATTTTTTGCTTAACTTACTGCATTTTACTTATTAGTGCCCGATTCTCACTTCTGGGAAACACAAATAAAGCAGACCTCCCCCTAAACACTCAGCCTGCTGTCATTTCCTTCACACCGTCACCTGTGAGGCCCCCCACCACTGTGGTCCTGAGAAGCAGAGGAGAGGGGAGGGCACAGCAGGCCACGCCCTGTCCCACAGTGGGGCTGTGACCCCTACAGCCCAGCCTGCAGGTCACTCCTGGTCCCCATCTTTCCTCCACAGGCAGTTTAGGCACAGGCAGCGGAAGGGCTCATGGCAGTGACCCTGGAGAGAACCATCCAGGGCGCCCACGCCGAGAACACACAGGCCAACGGGAGCAGGGATCCTAAAAGTGTGCCTGGCACCGGGGGCCAGGAGACTCGGGTGGGAGGGAGCAAGGCCCCGCCCCAGGGCAGGCCAGGAGGCACACCCCACCTCCTCCCTGCGGCTCACGCACCCAGGCCTCGCCCCGACCCCACGGCTGGGAAGGCTGCCCCAGCCGCCTGCCACTCCTCCCGGCTGGCGGAGGGTTTGTGTAGATAATCATGTTATTTAGATAGGATGTGGGTTTAATTCCCTTCATTACAGGCTCCCAGGGTTGTAATTTTTTTTCTCTGCATGATGTATTCCCTGTGGCACATTTCACTCAAATCAAACCCTTCGCGCCTTTATTGCCAACGAGGCCCGGGCACCGCGTTATCAGGCCCACACACACAGCCCTCTCCACCCTGCCGTGCAGAGGTCACTTCTAATGACTAATCGATCTCATTAGCTTTCCTAATTAAAAACTTTACTACCGCAATGGAAGACGAACTACAGAAAAACTGCTGGCATCATATTTGAGTGGGATATGAGCCCATCTATCAGCGGAGCCCTCGCGCCTGCAGTCGGCCCAGGGGCTGGCCTCCCCCCCTGGCCCCAAGCTCAGGAGCCCCGGACGGGGTGGGGGAGACTAAGATGCATCCAGGAGCCCTCCTGCGCACGGAGCGGGCAGGCGTGCAGTCAGGAAGGGAGGCCATGGAGGCCCCACCAGCCGGGCTCCTGCCCCCAGCACGTCCCGCCCTCCGTGATCCAGCCGAGGGAACGGGGTGCACGCCAGCCCCTCCCAGGCCCGCAGCCCAGCGGCCCTGCCCCATCCCAGCTCCCCCGGCCCCCTCCTCAGATAAGCCACCACAGATGGCAGAGCCCATCAGACTGAGGTCACGGCTCCCTCTCTCTGTTGAGCACGAGTTGAGGCGGAGTTCAGATTTTTATGGAACTTCAAAGGGCAATAACTAGGTAGAAAACGAGTTGCTAATTTCACAATTGTTTAATGAATAAGGAGAAGATGAAAGCTCAGTGCAAAGAACTGCCAGAGGGTGTGAGCAGCCAGCAGGGGAGGCTGCTCCCCACACAGGCCGCCAGCCTCAGGGCCAGCGAGTGTCCCTGTGGTACCCCGCCATCCGGGCCCCTGGGGAAAGGCCTGGCAGGGAGGGGCAGGGACCATGCCACCCTGGCCCCATGGCCTCCCATCCACCAGCCTCGGGTCTTCGCCCCGCAACAACCCATAGCCGGGGGCACCGGGGCCTCCAGAAACAGGCCACCTGAGCAAGAGGCCGAGGAGGCCCCAAGAAGATGGCAGATCTGTCCACAGCTGGCTTCCCACCCTGTTCCAGAAGCCTCTTCCCTGAGCCTCTGGCACCGTGAAGGGGGTGGGGGAGGAGTTGCTGGTGGAGGCAAAGCCTAAGAGCAGCTGAGCAAAAGCAAGTGACCGGTCCCTTGGCACAGAATTCACCTGGGCCAGCGGAGCAGGGCTGGACAGAGCCCGCAGGACAGAGCCCTCAGGACTGAGCCCGCAGGCGGAACCCAGCTTGCCTGTCATACACCCTCGAACCCAAGCCGTGCTCCTGGAAGAGGGGGCCCCAGACCCCTGGCCTTTCGGGGCTCAGTGTGGGGTGGAGAGACCACTCTGGCTGAGGGTGGGGAGCCCGGCTGGTGGGGAGCCGTGGGGCCGAGGGCCTTCTGCGGCCCACGCTCCTCTGCACAGTCCAGGGAGATTCCACTTCCTCTGCCTGATCTGCTTTTCATCAACAGCTACGATGACGCTTCAGGCCCTGCGAACCGGCTGCAGACAGCTCTGAGAGGCCGCGCCGAGGCTCAGCGCTTCAGAAGCCACGGGATTTCTGCTCTTCTGCCACAGAAGCCACCATCCACTCCCAGTTGGCTCAGGTCCCAGATGGCCTGTTGCCATGCTGTCGCCCATAGTGCCCCCCCACACCCGTACCTACCTCCCGTGAGGCCACCCACAGCTCCCAACCTAAATGAGCACAGAGGCTCCCCCCTGACCAGGGCCCATGGGTGCCAACTACCGACAACCGCTATGCAGCCAAACTCACTCTGAAAGGCCTGAAAGGTGCTTCTTCAGCCTTTCCGTGGTTTTTGATGCGGTGCCGACTTCGGACCAGCCCAGGCCCTGGCGTTGGGAGAGGGAGGTCTGGCCTAAGGCAGATGGGAGGGGCCAGAGGAGGTAGGGGGCCACGCCATGGAAACCAGTTTGGCCTCCTCGGCACAGACACGGGACAGCACCTGGCAGTGGAGCTTCTGGTGTGCCCCAGAGAGGGGGCGGGAGGCCCCCG